CCTTTTTCCGAGCTGGGGTCGGGCGGGACAGCGGTGGTGCCCGGGCCGGTTCATTACCGTAATCCTCGCCAAGAAAGCGGAGGTCGAGCCCCGGGCCGGAGGGGATTGGGGCAGGCGCATCCTCTCGCCACTCTCTGGGCAGGGGATGCGGGCTCCGTGCCGCACTCCCGGCTGGCAGCCAGAGCCAACAACTCTCTTCCCAAAATTTGGAGACAGCTCTAAGGCGGCCGCGGAAAAAAGAGAATCCCTGACACCGTTTTCTGTTTGGTCCGGATGGCCGCGGAGCCACTCAGCCCTGTGGCTGGGTCGCCGCTTCCCCAGGTATGCGCCAAAAGGTGACGGACTGGATAAGCGTGAGGAAGCACTGGGAAAGAGACAGGGACCCTTCTCATCTCTGCCTGGTCCCCGGGCTCCCCTGGCACATTCCACTGACTTTAAACCGGCACCTGATGGCCCGATGAGTATCAGCTGGGAGTGGTAGCTGCATGGTAGGTAGGTTACTTGTCTGTAGCTTACCTGAAAACCAGCAGACAGAACTCACACAGCCTGTAAGAGCTTTAGAGAGGAGACTGCTTTCTACTGAGAAAATCTGAAAAAAACCTCCAGGAATACACAACTTCATTTGTTTTTAGCCCAGTTTCATCCTTCCCTGCTCTCTCACTATATGCACGATTGTCAAAGCACACATGAGCCAACTCTGCTTTTCCCTCCACCCTTCAGCTGATGAAGATAGCTTTTCCAGTTAGAGCTAAGGGACACTGAGGCAACAGTGCAATGTTGGGCCAAAAAGGCAGGACAGACAGGCCACCCCTTTAGGCCAGGCCTGACAAGTGGGTGGCTTGTCACAGTGGTAAAGGACCAAGGCACAGGAAGCGACAGACCTGACTTGGTAGCCGGAGGGACAATCCTTGAAATAATTATGAACCCCATACTGAGTTCCCTCAAAACTGCTTTTCCTCTGGTCCAAACCAGAGAACAGAGAAACGAGAAGCCTTAGGCTATTTACATGGGATAGTCCTGTGCTAAAAAAGCAGCAAGGAAGGTGTCCACAGTTTGCAAAACATTTACCATAACCACAGTACAGAAGAGGTGTGTAAGGAATGTATTTCAAGCCTATGGTTGCTGGAGTCAGAGGCATGACTTTGATGCTGAGCAAGAATCAGGATCAAACTCATCCAGTTCAAACTGTGTCATAGGACACAAGTCTTATGAGGAGAGACTGAAGGAGCTGGGGTTATTTAGCCTGGAGGAGGCTTGGGGGTGACCTTACCACTCTCTACAACTATCTGAGAGGAGGTTGTAGCCAGGCGAGGGGAAGTGTCTTCTCCCAGGCAGCTACTGACAGGACAGGAGGACACACTCTCAAGCTGCACTGAGGAGGTTTAGGTTAGACATTAGGGAGACTCTCTTCACAGAAGTGGTGATTAGACACCGGAATGGACTCCCGAGGGAGGTGGTGGAGTCACTGTCCCTGGAGGTGTTTAAGGAGAGACTGGACGTGGCACTTAGTGCCATGGTCTAGCTGACATGGTGGTGTTAGGTCATAGGTTGGACCTGATCTCAGAGTTCTTTTCCAGCCTGATTGATTCTGTGATTCTGTAAATGGCATTAGTGCGTGAGGGAAACAGCTGTGAAATAAAAAGGTAGAAGGACAGGAGATCTAAGTTAGCACACTTTGTATTGCATATACAAGCTATGCACTGTCCCACTTGCACCCATTTTAAAGATGCTTTAAAAAGAGACCATAAAGCAAATTTAAGCCCAAACATAGCCCCAGTCAGGATCTGGTGCTGGTAGGCAGAGCTGTTCTGGCAGCCCTTCACCTGAGGAAGCAATAGCAAGTAGAACTGGGTTTTCACAAGGCCTTTAGGGAATCATGAAGAAGCAGGTCACGTGCCAGACTTTGTGTAGGTAAAACTGCCAGTAACAAAGTAAAAACCTTACCTTGACATTCTTGCTCTTACACATAACCCAACAGATTTCTCTGGCAATGAACCGAGGCTGGTAGCGAACTCACTCTCCTATGTTACTTATAGTCCTCATGAGCATTCTCCTGTGTTAAAACCTGCAAGTTGCCTTGTATTTAGTACAGTAAGTATTATTAGATGAAGTAAAAATTTTATGAGCTATTAAATATCATTAGACATCATAGTTCTCATCTGTACATCACTTTGAGAAGTCTATTGTCTTAATAAAAATTCTAACAGTTAAGTTTTAGACCTTGTGTATTCCAGTTCTACATTACTACATAACTAGGTAGCTATCATCAAAAATTAACAGCAAGGAACTCCAGTTTTATTAAGTGCAGGAAGATATTAAGCAAGCACAGCATTGACAGAATGCAGCTTGGAGAACTGAAACCCCATGTATGGCTGACATTTATCAGTGAAGAAACCTGTCATTACATATAGCTGAAATTTTTGGCTGATATTGCATTGAGCACATTATCAAATTTTAAGCCAAAAGAAATGCAATCTACATTACCCAAATAAGATGCAGGATTTAGACTGTGGTAGTTCTTTTCAAGGCACTCCATTAAAAACATCCAAACAGCAAAACAAACCATCAAAATAACACCCAAACCCACAGCAAACCCCAGCCAAGAAAGACTAAAAGAAAAAAAAATCAGAACTCTTTGAGCTTTACAACTTGTGAAACATAAAACGCTCTTATGTATACCACTGGACATAGTCACAATCTGCTCACTATATCTGTGGCTGAGAGCTGAGGGTAGGAATGAGCTTGGAAATCAAGTAATTGTGGATAACAATAAGAATTTTCTTGCAACCGCATAGGAAGTTCCCAGCCCAGAGCTGAGAGGCTGTGACAATCTATGTGCTCCCACAGCCATTCCTAGTGAAAAGCCAGTATGCAGACTGATGCTCCACTCTCTTTCTGCACTTGAGAGCAAGATATGAAGTTTATGACCTTGATCTTCACAATTTTTTTAACGTTAGGCTTGTCTCTTCTATCTGTTCAAGTTGTGTAACATGTACAGTCAAAACATCCCTATCGAAGAGCAAGCCTGTATGTGGTGTTCCTGTCCAAAGGACTAGAAAGTAGCATGAAAAAAATTCCAATGTTTTTCTTTATTCTAGTTTGATTTCAGGCATGATACAAGTTGTATTCTTGTTTCCATCAGTGAAAGTGAAAAATGAAAACGCAGAGTATAAAACAAAGCCCATAAATGCACAGCCTCCAATGCCAGTGACACAAACCCACAACATTTACTGCATACTTGTGATTGCTCTGTAACACAAGGATGCTTTCAGAAAGTGTTTTGTCTCTTCTCCCAGAATTATATCAAGATAGCACTTTTGTCTTACTAGTAAAACTAGTCAAATCAAGTAACAGTTCATGCCCAGATGGTTTTGAGAGCTCCCTAATTTCTGAAAAATATATTCAAATTGAACAACTAGATTTTTCTGTGAAGACTAAAATTCAGGTGGTACCACTGAAAGCAGAAGAGGAAAGCACAATGCTATCCTGCCTGTCACCAGGAAAGGGTCTTTGCATGTTTGGCTTGAATGAAGATTTTTTTGGTAAAGCTCAGGAAAGAAAAGTCCCAGTTTAGAATGAACGTACCAATTGCACAAATGCATCCACACATTACAACGTGAAATGTAGTTCCTGTTCAAACAGATTACAGAATTTAACTGCACAAAAGATGAGCCAGCCTGTTGA